TCTTTCTTCTCCTCCTCCTCCTAATTCTTTATTTAATTCTCCTCCTCCTCCTTTTTCTCCTCCTCCTCTTTTTTCTCCTCCTCCTCCTCTCTCTCTCCTCCTCCTCCTCCTCTCCTCCTCTTTCTCCTCTTCCTCCTCTTTCTCCTCCTCCGCCTCCTTTTTCCCCTCCTCCTCCTCCTCTTTCTCCTCCTTTTTTCATTCCCTCCTCCTCCTCCTTCCTTCACCCTATCCCCTCTCACTCAGCCGTAGACTCCAAAGGAAATCTATTCTTTTTAAAACTTCATTTTCCTTCGATTTTTTCAATGTCTCTTTTTTTTTATAACAAGATCTTCTCGAGGATTCCTTCTTTCATCCTAAATGGCCCACTTGTATTAGACCTTCAAAGAGTGTCTAATCGATTTCATAGTTTCCGTTTTCATTCCGTTTCGATCATTTCCCATATTTTTACGTTTTTTTTTTTGAAAGGTACGAGGAGGTGTGGGGTTAAAAGGAAAGCCTGCGATTTGGTTTCATGTTTTTAAGTTCGTTTATTCATTGTTATTGTTGTTATCTTTACTATCATCAATTTTATTATTTTTATTGTTGTTATTGTTGTTATTATTATTACTACTATTACCATCATTTTTTAAACTATTTATTTTCATCATCGCCATCTTTATTATTATTATTATCATTATTATTATCATTATTATTATTATTATTACTATAATTATTATTAATATTATTATTATAATTGTTATTATTATTATTATTAATAATATTATTATTATAATCATTATCAATATTATTACTCTTATTATTACTATTATTACCTCCGCCAAGGAGGTTATGTTTTTGACGGCGTTGGTTTGTTGGTTTGTTTGTTAGCAGCGTAGCTCAAAAAGTGCTGGCCGGATTTCATCGAATTTTTGGGGACAAGTCAGAAAGGGACTAACTTAGAACTGATTAAATTTTGGTGACATTCCGAATTACCGTCTGGTTATTATTATTATTATTATCATTATTTAATCAATAAATTTACTATCCATGTTCGGTACACAAATCTACGGTAAACGTGTGCCACATTTCACCATCTCCCATTTTATTGTTATTGTTACCTCCGCCAAGGAGGTTATGTTTTTGACGGCGTTGGTTTGTTGGTTTGTTTGTTTGTCAGCAGCGTAGCTCAAAAAGTGATGGCCGGATTTCATCGAAATTTTGGGGACAAGTCAGAAAGGGACTAAATTTTGGTGACTCCGAATTACCGTCTGGACGCAGCAGCGGTGTAAGTACATTATATACGCACCTTGGCGGAGGTCTGCACTCTCTGAGTGCTTTTCTAGTTATCATTATAATTATTATCATTATCATTTTCATTTTATCATTATCATTATATTAATTATTATTACTATTATTATCATTCTTATTACTATTATTGAGTGTCAGAGTATGCAATATATTTTCCTTTTTTTACCCTCTCGTTTTTACTATATTCTTAATCTTCTTTCTTATCATTCGTAAATTTAATTACCTCATATTCGTCACGTCCACATCATCATTCTAATTTCATGATAAAAAATCTTTCTATATAAACTACCTGACAAGTACCTGCCTATATCTAAAAAAATATATATAACTAAAAGCGATAGCATATCCTATATATATACAGAGAGAGAGAGAGAGAGAGAGAGAGAGAGTCGCCAGATGTATGTCCCAAAATGTAGTAAACAAAGACAATAGCAAAGCCCCCCGGTTAATTAGACAGACTAATGAAACAATCAACCTCACTGCTTTTGCCAAACATTCCTTTGTCCGTGATACAAAAGTACTAATCTGTATTCATGGCTATATCTGTGCCCATCGATAGAAAGTTCTATAGGTTGTTACTCATTAAGGGGAGCACCCTACCTAGCTATAAATATGCATATGTAAATACATATTCACACTTATACACACACATACACACAAACACACACACGCACATATACACACCACAAACACACACTCACGCACATGCAAATACATATACATACCTATATCTATTTATAAAGCTCTCTCTCTCTCTCTCTTTCTCTCTCTCTCTAGCTAATTATACAGTACACGCAAAAAGGCACAAATATGCTCCGTAAATATGTAGAAGGCTAATGAAATGTTTTTTCTTGCCTACAAATCCCACAGATAATTTCGTAATATAAACGTTTTTAATTTTTTAATTTTCATTGACTTACTTTACCAATGTTTATAAGTCATCAAATAACCACTGCATATTCTAAAATCATATTTTTGTTTATGGCATCCCTATTAAAACATAATAGATAGACCAACCAGATTATACATCAGACTAAAAAAAAACTCTCTCTCTCTCTCTCTCTCTCTCTCTCTCTCTCTCTCTCTCTCTCTCTCTCTCTCTCTCTCTCTCTCTCTCTCTCTCTCTCTCTCTCTCTCTCTCTTTCTCTCTCTCTCTCTCTCTCTCTCTCTCTCTCTCTCTTAATAGACACATATCTTACAAAGACTCAGAATAGAAGCTCTTGAGACAATCCAATTATAATCGCATTAGGTCTTTACATCATTCGTGAACATTATAACTGACTTTCGCTCAATGACTTTTCTCGGAACCCTAACTGTCCACGTGATCAGTGAAGCCTGTGGATATTCCTTTATGTTGGGTTCTACCTGGAAGAAGTAGATTACATCGCAGAGGAAACACACATTGGACACGTGGGGTTTGTTTGCTACGAATTTTGAGAACTCGTTATAGTCTCATGAGGCTGATTATATAAGATTATATATGTTTGAATGTGTACAAACATCTGTTATGTATGTTTGTACAGTGTATCAAATAAATATATGCATATATCTATCTATCTATCTATCTATCTATCTATCTATCTATCTATCTATAGTCTATACATACACAGACATATATATTGTATCATTATAGATTGATATTTATTTTCTGCCCTTACACTCTCTATATATGTCTCTCTCTCTCTCCCTCTCTACTTCCCTTTTTTCTCCCCCTATCCCTTTCTCTTTCGTTCTCTCCCCTTATCTCCCTCTTTCTTCCCCTCCCTCCCCCCTCCCTCCTTCCACTATCCCCCATCTCTCTCTCCTCTCTTTTTTTCTCTGAATGCCTTTGTCCTTCCTTCCCTCTTTCTCCCTCGCCCTCCTCCCCCTCTTATTCCTCCTCTTCCCCCTCCTCTCCTCCTCCTCTCCTCTCCACCTCTTCCTCCTCCTCTCTCTCCCCTAACAGTCCTCCCCTACCCCCCTTCCTCCTCCTCCTCCTTTTCTTCCTTCTACCCCTCTCCCTCCTCCTCCTCTCCTATCCCCCCTTTCTCCTCCTCCTCCTCCTCCTTCCTCCTCTCCTATCCCCCCTTCCTCCTCCTCTCCTATCCCCCTTTCCTCCTCCTCCTTCCTCCTCCCTCATCCCACCTCCTCCTCTTCCTCCTACCCATCTCCCTCCTTCTCCTCCTCCTCCTTCCTCCTCCTCCTCTCCTATCCCCCCTCCCTCCTCCCTCATCCCTCCTTCATATCCCTCCTCCCCCCTCCCTCCTCCTCCTCCTCCTCCTCTTCCTCCTACCCATCTCCCTCCTTCTCCTCCTCCTCCTTCTCCTCCTCCTCCTCCTTCCTCCTCCTCCTCCTCCTCCTTCCTTCCTCCTCCTTCCTTCCTCTTCCTCCTCCCTCCTCCTTCCTCCTCCTCCCTCTACCCCCTTCCTCCTCCTTCCTTCTCCTCCGCTTCCTTCCCCCTTCCCTCCTTCCTTCCTCCTCCTCCTCCTTCCCTCTTCCTTCCTTCTCCTCCTCCTCCTCCTCCTCCTCCCTCCTCCTCCTCCTTCTCCTCCTCCTCCCTCCTTCCTTCCTCCTCCTTCCTCCTCCTCCTTCTGCCTCCTCCTCCTTCCTCCTCCTCCTCCTCCCTCCTCCATTTCCCCCCTCCCCCCTCCCTCCTTCTCCTCCTCCTCCTCCTCCTCCTTCCTTCCTCCTCCTCTCCTATCCCCTCTCCCTCCTCCCTCATCCCTCCTCCATATCCCTCCTCCCCCCTCCCTCCTCCTCCTCCTCCTCCTTCCTCCTCCTCCTTCCTCCCTCCTCCTTCCTTCCTCCTCCTCCTCCTCCCTCCTCCATATCCCCCCCCTCCCTCCTCCTCCTCCTCCTCCTCCTTCCTCCTCCTCCTTCCTCCTCCTCCTCCTTCCTCCTCCTCCTCCTCCTCCTCCTTCCTCCCTCCTCCTCCTACCCCCCCCCCTTCCTCCTCCTTCCTCCTCCATATCCCTCTCTCAAATCTTACCATGCCGGTGACCCAGAAGAAGATGAGCCACTCCACAAACGTTGGCGCAGGTCCCCGGATGTTCCTGCGGTGTCTCTCGCTCCCTTCGGTTCTCGTTGAAGCCAGGACGAGCAGCAGGAGGAAAATCCCGAAGGAGGCGCTGCAGGAGAAATGGGGGAAAAAAGGGTGGGTGGGTAAGGGGGGACGGGGGAGGAAAAGAGAAAGAAAAGTCGTAAGATGTTTGAATGGTGGAGGGAAATTAAGGATATTGATACTTTTTTTTTTTAATTCTGTTTTTTATTTGTTTATTTATTTTTGAAACGGTTGCATTTAGTGGTGAGTGTCATCAATTATCATTATTTTTATCATCATTATAATTATTAACTGCATCATCATCATTATCATTTTCATCATCATTATCATAATTATTAACATCATCATCATTATTATCATTACTATTAATATATTATTATTTGGTCTCATCTCTCTCTCTCTCTCTCTCTCTCTCTCTCTCTCTCTCTCTCTCTCTCTCTCTCTCTCTCTCTCTCTCTCTCTCTCTCTCTCTCTCTGTGTTTTTTCTTTCTCTCACTTTTACTCTTATTTTTATTCTTTTACTCCTATTTCAATTACTGGTTTACAGCAAAAGCGCCATTCTCTCTTTTAACTTTCTTACAGAGAATGGTAATAAAAATCTGTGCACTCTTTTTCTTCCATTACGTTTATTTCTTTATCTTTCTCTCCCTTCTATGGCTATCTCTCGTTTTCCTTGTCTATTCTCTTTCTCTTTTTTTATCTGTCTTCTTATAGTTCTGTCTATCTGCCTCTCCCCCCCCCCTCTCTCTGTCTTTGTCTCTGTATAATTCTGTCTGTCTGTCTGCCCCCCCCTCTCTCTCTCTCTCTCTCTCTCTCTCTCTCTCTGTGTCTCCCCCCCCCCCCTCTCTCTCTCTCGCTCGCTCGCTCTCTCTTTCTCTCTCTTTCTATCTATCCCTCCCTCCCTCTCTCTCTCTCCCTCCCTCCCTCTCTCTCTCTCCCTCCCTCTCTCCCTCTCTCTCTCTCTCTCTCTCTCTCTGTCTTTGTCTCTCTGTCTCTCTCCGTCTTTCTCTCTCATTCTCTCTCTCTCTCACTCACTCTCTCTGTCTTCCCCCCCCCCCTCTCTCTCTCTCATTTAGCCGCTCGCTCTTCCATGCTTCCCCCTCCCCCCCCCCCTAATCTATTTATTGGCTTACAATAAAAGCACAATTCTCTTTCTTGATTGGTAGAAAAAAACATCCCTCTCCTCTCTTCCTCATTCCTCTTTTCTATTTATCTATTTACATTTATTCTTTATTTATATCTTTTCATTGATTTATCCATCTTTTTAATATTTCTCCTTTTTTTCTTCATACGCACACACATCCTCAGACATGTCTATATGAATATTTCTGTACATGTCTGTTTATCAGCCTTCATACACACATACGCACAGACACATTACACATACATTCATACACACTCAAGTACACAAGAACACAAACACACAAACAAACACACATATAAACAAACACAAATACACAAACAAGCACACACAAAAAAATGAAATAAACAAAAACACACACACAAACAACATACAAACACATCCAAATACCCAACACATATATATTAACCCTCCCCCCCTTCCCCCATCCCCCTTTCCCCCCATTCTCCCAATATCTCCCCCATCAACCCCCCATCCCTTCACCCCCACCTTTCCCTCTCCTCCTACCCCCCACACCCACCCCACACCCACCCCACACCCTTCATTCCCCCCCCCCCCCCCCCCAACCCGATCCTCACCTGTGATAGATGAACTTCATGAAGGGTGACCTTATGACCCTCCCGAGCTGCGTCCTCGGGAAGATGAGGTAGATAACAGCGATAACAGGCATGCAAATGATGATGGAGAGGCACAGCAGGATTTTCACGACTGCATTCCGACGGCGCCAGATCGGGAGTCCCTCGTGCCACACGGACGTCAGGAGTTGCTGGCAGTTCGGGTGTGCTACGAACTGCAGGGTGAGGGGGGGTGGGGGTAGGGTGGTAGGGTGGTAGGGTGGTAGGGGGAAGGGGGAAGAGGGGGGAAGGGAAGAGGGAGGGGGAAGGGGGAGGGGGGAAGAGGGAGGGGGAAAGGGGAAGGGGGAGGGGAAGAGGGAGGGGAAGGGGGATGGGGAAGAGGGAGGGGAAGGGGGATGGGGGAAGAGGGAAGAGGGAGGGGGAAGGGTGAAGAGGGGCAGGATGGTAGGGGGAAGGGGGTAGGGAAAGGAGAAGGGGGAGGAGGAAGGGGAGAAAGAAGGACGAAGGGGGAGAGGGAAGGAAGAGGAAGAGAAAGAATAGATTAATAATCATTATCTGAAGAATGAAGAAATAAAAAACAAACAAACGTAAATACCAAGACACAGACGAACTCACACGAGATGATTTTAAACAGACATACAAAGACCTAAAAACGAAAAAAAGACATATAAACCCATTACAAAAAACAAACAAACAAACACAGAAACACAAAACAAAACAAAACAAAACAAAGCAAACCCAAACAAAACCCAAACAAACCCAAACAAAACAAACCAACAACACCACAATAGAAAAAAAGAACCCACAACCACTACCCACTCAAGTCGTCCTCCTCCTCCTCCTCTCACCTGCTTCTGGTCGTACTTGAGAGCCAGCTTGAGTCTCGACAGGTTGAGTCGTTCAGGGTCGTCCTCGTCGTCTGACACATCTGAGTCTTCCTCGCTGCGTCGGTTGAGTACTGCGATTACCTGGTGGAGGAGAAGGTGGTGGAGTGGTTAGGTGGAGGTGGATGAGGAGGTGGTGGAGTGGTTAGGTGGAGGTGGATGAGGGGGTGGAGGAGGAGGTGGATGAGGGGATGAGGGGGTGGTGGAGGGTGAAGGAGGGGATGAGAGGGTGGTGGAAGGTGGATCAGGGGGTGATGGAGGTGGTGGAGTGGTTAGGTGGAGGAGGAGGTGGTGGAGTGATTAGGTGGAAAAGGAGGAGGTGGTGGAGTGGTTAGGTGGAGGTGAGGGTGGATCAGGGGATGAGAGGGTGGTGAAGGGTGGATGAGGTGGATGAGGTGGTGGATTGGTTAGGTGGAGTTGGATGAGGGGGCGGTGGAGAGTGGATGAGGGGGTGAATTAGGGTGGTTGTGGATGGGTAGGTGGATGAGGGTGGAGGTGAGTGAAGGAGTGGGGGAGGAGGTGGTGGAGTGGTTAGGTGGAGGTGGAGAAGGTGGTGGAGTGGTTAGGTGGAGG